CAGATGAGAGGAAAAGGAATGAAAAAAGCCTCCAGAAGGAAAAGTTTGTTGGTGTGAAATGAAGCCTTGTGGTTTTCTGGGTGGTCAGAGGGATGACCTAATCTGTGTGTGACATCATGGGGCTGGTTCTGAAGGGGTGCTACCAGAATGACCCATTCATCACAGTATTGTGCTCTGATAGCACATTCTATTTTGGCGCAAATTACACAGATGGAGCGATTACAGCAGGCCTGCCTAGCCGGGCCCATGCCGCTGCCCTTATGTGAAATGAAATATCAGAGTCGCAATTACATTTGTGTGTCTCTCTCTGTCCCCTCGCTCCCTCCCTCTCTCCCTCCCTCCCCCCTAGCTCCCTCCCTTTCTCCCTCCCTCCCCCCTCGCTCCCTCCCTCTCTCCCTCCCTCCCCTCTAGCTCCCTCCCTCTTTCCCTCCCTCCCAACTCGCTCCATCCCTCTCTCCCTCCCTCCCCCCTAGCTCCCTCCCTCTCTCTTTCCCCCTAGCTCCCTCCCTCTCTCCCTCCCTCCCCCTAGCTCCCTCCCTCTCTCCCTCCCTCCCCCCCTCCCTCCTTGCTATCAGCCTCTGTCTCTCCTCTCCCACAGCTCCGCTCCTCTCTCTCAGGCTCCTCTCGTCCCTCCCCATAGCTCCTTCTCCTCCTTCCTCCTCCCTCTAGTCCTCCTCCCCTACTCCCTCCCTCCCCCTCCCTCCCCCTAGCTCCCTCTCTCTTCCCTCCCTCCCCCTAGCTCCTCCCTCTCTCCCTCCCTCCCCCCTAGCTCCCTCCCCTCTCTCCCTCCCTCCCCCCTAGCTCCCTCCCCTCTTTCCCTCCCTCCCCCTGCTTCTCCTCCCTCCCCCCTACTCCCTCCTCTCTCCCTCCCCTCCCTTCTCCTTCCATCTCTCCCTCCCTCCCCCCTAGCTCTCCTCCCTCCTCTCTCCCTCCCCTCCCCCCTAGCTCCCTCCCTCCTTCCCTCCTCTCCCTCCTTCCCTCCTCTCCCCCCTCGCTCCCTCCCTCTCTCCCCTCCCTCCCCCTATCTCCCTCCCTCTCTCTCTCCCTCCCCCCTCCTCCCTCCCTCTCTCCTCTCCCTCCCTCCCATCGTCTCCCTCCCTTCTCCTCTTCCCTCCCCCCCCTCTCCCTCCCCCCTCCCCTCCCTCCCCCTCCTCTCCCTCCCTCCCCCTAGCTCCCTCCCTCCCCTCCTCCCTCCCCCCTAGCTCCCCTCCCCCTCTCTCCTCCCTCCCCCCTAGCTCCCTCCCTCTCCTCCCTCCTCCCCCTAGTCCCTCCCTCTCCTCTCCCCCTCCTCCCCCCCTAGCTCCCTCCTCTCTCTCCCTCCTCCCCCCTCCCCCCACTCTCTCCCTCCCTCTCCCTCTCCCCCTCCCTCTCCCTCCCCTCTCCCCTCCCTCCTCCTCTCTCCCTCCCTCCCCCCCCTAGCTCCCTCCCTCTCTCCCTCCCTCCCCTCCCCTCTACCTTCCCTCTCATCCTCTCCCTCCCCCCACTCCCCCTCTCCCTTTCTCCCCCCTGCTCCCTCCCCTCCTCCCTACTCTCCCTCCCTCCCTCCTCCCTCCCTCCTCCCTCCTCCCCCTCCCTCCTCCCTCCACCCTTCCCTCCCTCTCTCCTCCCTCCCTCTAGCTCCTCCTCCTCTCTCCATCCCTCCCCCTAGCTCCCTCCCTCTCTCCCTCCCACTCCCCTAGCTCCCTCCCTCGCTCCCTCCCTCTCCTTCCCTCCCTCCCCCCTAGCTCTCTCTCCCTCCCTCCCCCTAGCTCCCTCCCTCTCCTCCCCCCTAGCTCCCTCCCTCTCCTCCCTCCCTCCCCCTGCTCCTCCCTCTCTCTCCTCCCTCCCCCCTAGCTCCCTCCCGCTCTCCCTCCCCTCCCCTATCTCCCTCCCTCCCACTCCCCTAGCCTCCCTCCCTCTCTCCCTCCCTCCCCCCTAGCTCCCTCTCTCTCTCCCCCTCTCTCTCTCCCTAGCTCCCTCCCCCTCCCTTCCCCCCCCCCCGCTCTCCCTCCCTCTCCCTCCCCTCCCTCCCCCCTATCTCCCTCCCTCTCTCTCCTCCCTTGCTCCCTCCTTCCCGTGACTGATTAAGACGCTCTCCATTGTGACCTAAATGAGAGCCTCATTTGTGGCTGTTATTTATTTGTAATAAATCCTTCTCTGGACCAGAGATGAATTTTTAATATGAATAGGTGCTCTTACTAATAGTCTTTGTGCCTCTTGGTAAGACAAAGGACTCTGGCGGGGAACCTAAGGTCTTCCTTCCTATTATTGGCTTTATAAAACTAAATAATTGAAATGTTCCATTGAAATATTATCTTCCCCTGTATCGCCAGACCTATTGAATAAACTCTATCTGCTATGGCTTTTATGTTTTAATATTATATGGTATGTGCGTCTAGATTTTTCTGTCTGCCTTATCATAATCTTTAGTCACTTTTGTCCAGGGGAATGTAATGACAGCTATTTGCTGTTATTGCCTCTGTGGTTATTTGCTGTAATAATGACATCAGGACTATTTTATCAGGCCTATCAGAGGCACTGCTATCTCCGTTTATCTGCTTTTGCATGCACTCATGTAGTAGAAAATACATTTTATTTCTACCTTGGCCTATACTTAAGCAATAATGCCTGAGAAACCGGGAACCCGGAAACTCCCAACAAGGGCCTGAGGCGAAGTCAAGGTAATTCCCGTGTTTGAGGGCATTATTGCTTTTATAAAACTATTGCCAATATATTTATAAAAATAATAATTACATGTTTTCATTCCAAACATTATTTGAATGAGTAAATGTGTTTTTGCATTCTGAAGTTATTATTCAAGCGGCTGGTCTTTTTAGTTATTTCTTCCTGTTTTGACCCAGTCGTTAATTCTAATCATTCTATAAATTCAATAATAATGCTAATGATTTAATAAATGTCCAATAGGCCTGCATAAGCAACAACTATTATTGTTAGTGAGTCCGAGCTAACCAAGCTAGTTGGTGATGTTAATAGTGACGTTTCCATTGATGGCACATGAGTGGATGAACTGTCCATAGTCCTGGCACTGGTTGGTGACAGCCAGTGCTTGTCTCTTCTTTGCTGGCGCTGGAGAGATCGCATTTGTAAAATGATACATTGTTGCACAGGTTGTAGAGGCAGACAGGTAGGTTAATACAACCCCCAACTGTTGCAAACCAAATAGTATCATGGAAAAAATATGTGTAGACTTTTTTTTTCCAGAGGGAGATGAAGTTTAGGAATTTCCTGCCTGGGCTGCGGATAGTGGAATTATGACATTAACATGTCATGGTATTTTGCGGGAGTTGTTGTCCGACAACTTCCCCATATCAACCAATCAGCATCCAGGATCCAAACGACCCGTTTCATAATGTACAGTATACTATTGAATAGAACAAACCCATTGAACCCCAAAACCCAGTACAAGCACATTCTATTTTGGCGCAAATTACACAGATGGAGCGATTACAGTAGGCCTGCCTAGCCGGGCCCATGCCGCTGCCCTTATGTGAAATGAAATATCAGAGTCGCAATTACATTTGTGTGTCTCTCTCTACTACAATCTCTCCTACACTACTAACAACCAGCTGTGAACAAACCCATTGAACTCCAATACCCAGTACCGTCTACTACAATCTCTCCTACACTACTTACAACCTGACAGTGTCATGCCTTACAGCAGCTGTTACTTACCTCACGTTTCACTTTCCACGCCGCTCCCTTTCGTACTGTCTCCTCTCTCCTCTCTCTCTCTCTCCTTCTCTCTCTCTCTCTCTCTCTCTCTCTCTCTCTCCTCCTCTCTCTCTCTCCCTCTCTCTCTCTCTCTCTCTGTCTCTCTCCTCTCTCTCTCTCTCTCGTCTCGTCTCTGCTCTCTCTCTCTCTGTCTCTCTCTCTCTCTCTCTCTCTCTCTCTCCTCTCTCCTCCTCTCTCCTCTCCTCTGTCCTCTCTCCTCTCCTCTGTCTGTCCTCTCTCTCCCCTCTCCTTTCTCTCTCTCTCTCTCTCTCTCTCTCCTCTCTCCCCCCCCCCCCCCCCCCCCCCTACTAGATTATCTCTCGCTAGTCAATAATTGCTGTCTTCCCAGCAGTGAAGTCCTCAATGGTCTCAGATTAAATTGATCCTGTTTGATTTCTGACACTTGATTTAGAAGATGCCTGCGGTTGTAATGTAATACTAGCCCAGTGAAGTGGTATAGGTTGACTCCTGTTGAATGTGTGGAACCCAACAGGCTTGCAGGCAGGCAGCGAGAGAGAGGAGGAGAGAGAGAGAAAGGGAGGCTGCTCTGGGCGGAAGTAGGCCTGCATACTGTACATGTGCACACACACACTCTTCCTCTTCCCTACTGACCCCATATGGGCTTCTCACAGTCCTACAGTCTGTAATGTCTCTGCTCAAACAGTTTGGTGCAGTGGAGCTATTGATGTGGATGAGTAGAAAGCCTCTTTTCTATATTCAAGCCCAGTATGATGACAAAGACACAGAACACATACAGTATGTGGAATTGTTGACCTCCAGTCCTGAGTGAAGCAGCTGGAAGTGTGGGAGCTGTGCTCTCTGCTCTCTGAGTGTGACAGAAATAACTGTGGTCAGGGCTGCAGGCTCCCAGCAGCTGCCCCACAAACCTTGTCACGGATTGCCCTCAGACATGTGCGAGTGCGCGGTCACACGCACACACACATGGATGGATGCATGCTCGCTCGCATCCACACATCCAGTCACACACACACAAAGGCCCAATAATGCCTAATATGTTGGTGTCCAGTCAGAGAGGAGAAGGTAGCGTTTAACAGTGCAGGCCTGGGGGTGATTGAGACCAGGCAGCATGGCTGTCCGTCTGTCACCGACTCGCTACACAGAACACGCAAGCCATGAGCACTACCATGAAGAGACAGGGGATGTGTTCGAGACAAGGACAAATCTAACAAGGTGAACATTCGTTTGTGATGGCGTTGGACATAAGTCAATAAAGACTCAATTCACAGCTGAACACTCACCCAATCCCTCAGTAAACTCTTAAGCATTCTATGATGTTAACCGTGTGTATTGTGTGTTTCCAGGTGAGCCGTGTTCCAGTGGAGAGCTGTGAGCAGTACTCCTCCTGCAGCGCCTGCCTGGGTTCAGGAGATCCCCACTGTGGCTGGTGTGTCCTCCACAATGTGTAAGTACTGTATGCCACACAGAGCTGCTCTGACTCTGCATACGTCACATTACTATGTTCTCAACTCCATAGTATCAAGTCACCACAACTGAAGAACCAAAACTCTCTCTGTCAGGTGTTCGAGGAAGGATCATTGTGAGAGGGCTGATGAGCCTCAGCGTTTTGCCTCCCGAGTGGAGCAGTGTGTCAAACTCAGTGTCCAGCCTGGAAACATCTCTGTCACCATGTCCGAAGTGCAGGTAACTCACCTGACAATACATCCTGTGTGTGTGTGCTCGTGTGTGTGTGTGTGTGTGTGTGAGAGAGAGAGTATATGTTTCGATAACTGTTTTGGTTAGTGTGTGTAGACGTGTTTAACTATACTTGTGGGGACAATAGTAAACAAACTAAAATTTGACTAACTGGGGACATTTTGTTAGTCCCCACAAGATCAAATGCTATTTCTAGGGGGTTTAGGGTTAAGGTTAGAATTAGTGTTTGGGTTAGAATTAGGTTTAGGGTTAGGGTTAGGAGCTAGGGTTAGTTTTAGGGTTAGGAGCTACGGTTAGGTTTAGGGTTAGGATTAAGGTTAGGTTCTCAGGTTAAGGTTAGGGTTAGGGTAAGGGTACGGGTTAGGGTTAGGGTTTGGTTTAGGGAAAATAGGATTTTGAATGGGACTGAATTGTGTGTCCCCACAAGGTTAGTTGTACAAGACTGTGTGTGTGTGTGTGTGTGTACGCATGAGTGTTTGTCCTCATATTGACTTGTCCCTCACACTCTCCTCTCTCTCTGTATTCCTAGCTGGTGCTGCAGGCCCAGAATGTGCCTAACCTTTCAGCAGGGGTCAACTGCTCCTTTGAGGACTACACTGAGACAGAGGGACGTATCTTTGGGGGACGCATTTACTGCCTGTCCCCTTCCACCCGAGAGGTCGCCCCCATCACACGCAACCAGGGTGAGAAAAGAATCCACAGCATCCTCATGCTGCTATTTGCTAGTAATATACATCAGTTACACTGTGTTAACAAAATTGTATTATTGTATTATTTGTTTGTGTGTAGAATGTGTTATACTGACGTACTGTGACTCTTTCTAGGGGACAAGCGTACTGTGAAGCTGTATCTGAAGTCTAAGGAGACAGGAAAGAAGTTTGCCAGTGTGGACTTCGTCTTCTACAACTGCAGTGTGCACCAATCGTAAGTTCGGTTTTAAGTCATTGTGTGTGTGAGAGAGTATGAAGAGAGAGAGAGAGAGAGGAGAGAGAGAGAGAGAGATAGAGAGAGAGATGCTCTATATGTCGCTCTCTATCTCTCTCTCATATCTCTCTCTCTCTCTCTCTCGTCTCTCACTCTCGCTCTCTCGCGCTTCTCTCTCTCTCTCTCGCTCTTCTCTCATCTCCTCTCTCATCTCTCTCTCTCTCTCTCGCTCTCTACTCTCGTCGTCTCTTCTCTCCCTCTCTCCTCTCTCTCTCTCTCTCTTCGCTCTCTCTCTCTCTCTCCAATCTGCTCCTCATCCTCTTGCCTTCCAGTCTCTCCTCTTCTCTCCCTCTCTTCTTCCCTCCTTCCTCTCTCCTACCTCCTTCTCTCTCTCTCGCTTACTGCCTCTCCTCACTCTCGCTCTACATCTTCTTCCTCGTCTCCCATTCTCTCTCGCTTCTCTAGTACTGCATCTCCGTCCCTGGCAACAAAGGGGAACGGGCTCAATAACAAATCGATCTGCTTCTCTACTCCTATCCTTTCTAAAAGTGATCAGTGTTTCCCTGTTCTCCATCCTCTCTACATCGTCTAAACTGCGTTACGTGGCTCTTCGTTCCTCTCTTATCGTACAGTCAATCCTGATAAGGGATCCTCCAATCAAAACTATGACATCGCTAGCTCTCGTAACTGTGTCCTGACTACACCATCATCGCTCTCTAAATCCCTCTCAGATTGTCTTCTTTATCGTCGACTCGTTCTGACATGGGGTAGAGGGGCATCCAATCCCTGACTGCATCTCATCTAGCCGGCTAGCCATCGGTGGAATCTGTGTCGTCTACTCTTACTAAATTGAGGAGGGTATAATGCCATAATCGGGAAAGTATATGCCTCTTCAAAATTGACGGCGAGGGCGAGGCTGGGTCGATACTCTCATTGTTGTTTCTCCTAGCTCTGCTATCCTCTCATACTCCAATTACACTCCCTCTCTTCCGTATACTCTATCTCTCTCCATCGAGGCGATGCTCTAGTTCCTGCTGACATCTTCTGCCCAAGGGCCACGCATGGCGTTGCCTGTAGCCTCTTGGTGGCTTCTGATCCTTCCTGAGAGACGTGGAGCTCAGGAGATATCAGACGAGTCTCTCTCATAGCGAATGAAGCTCCGTCTGCATTAGCTTGGAAAGAAGAGAACGTCGGTAGTACAGATAAAGGCAAAACTCACGAGGAACTCAGCAGGGGGATCGCGCTGCATTTGGATACTAGCAGCACGGGAAAATGGGGTGCTACGGGGGAAAAACGTTCGGGTAGCTGGGACAGACCTGCTACATCTTGCATTCACGCTCTGAAAAATTCGTAGCGAAGTCATCTCTCGACTAAGGACTCTCGGACCTGTCACCGTGCAAATCTCCTCATCGCTCTCTACTTCTCAGGTGGCATATAACCCGAACCACTCTACTAATAATAACTCACTCTTCAATCAGTCATCTCTCGGTCTGGTCTTGTTAGGTACACTCATACTTCTCTTGCCCTGCTCTCGTCCATCTCCTCCGACGATTGAGAGGAGTGCTGACGGAATCTTCTGCTGCAAATCCTATCGGGAGGTGAAGAATCTCTCTATCTAGGTGTAGGTGTTAAGTATGCCTCTCTGCGCTCAGTCTGCGTACTGTCTCCTCGTCTCTCACGAGGTCAAAAACCGTGACTAATAAAGGGAAAACAAAACAAGACTTTCTAAGCGATCTGACGGAGCCCAAATCATGTGAAGACTCCTTCCTCGCTGCGGACCCGTCCTTAAAGTGCAAGTTAGTTAGGCTCTCGGTCTACTGGCTTTACTCATCATCTCCAGTCACTGCCTGCGAAGTCCATCATTTCTATACAGGTTCAGGTTCTTTACGAACCGATCATAATTTTACACATCGTGGTACACTATTGCGTACTGCTGATTGAGATCTACTCTTTAATTAATGTACTAAAACATCTAATAACTTGGAGCTCCTCTGATTAATTGATAATGTGTTACTACTCTGAATTATGTTACTTTCCATCTGAGATCTGTCTCTTTCTTTCCCTCGCTCCCTCCCGTCATCCAGCCCATTCTCTCCACATCCTGCCTGGAGGCTCTCAGACCCTGTTTCTATCCCACTCCCCTAGCTCTGCCTTTCACTAAACATAGATATGGGCCAAAGACCCCCATCTCCCCTCTCACCCTCATCATTTCCCACTCCATTACTGTATCTTTCATCTCTCTCTCTCCCTTCCTCTCTTCTTTTCCTTCCACATCCTCTCACTTCCTCTCTCATTCCCTTTCCCCTTATTTATCTTCTTCATCTCCTCCCCTCTACCACTCCCCTACCCCCCTCCTCCTCTCCCTCCCCTCTACCACTCCCTTATCTCCTCTCCTCCTCTCTCCTTCTCTCCTCTCTCCTGTTGGTCCTCTCTCCTGCTGGTCCAGATGTTCTTTGCCCCTCTTCTCTGCTTTTATTTATCAAACAGATTGTTTTCCTGGCCCCTGCTCTGTGAGCTGCATACATTAGCATAGCAATATTCTCCTAATTAGCTGGCCTGGCGCCCCATTAGAGCTGGACATAATGGAGAGCGTATGTAAAGTGTTCACCTGGACCTCTTATCAAGACCTGGTTCAATGTCTTTGAACCTAGAGGATGTGTCATTATTTATGCGCCTCTGTATATGTATGTGTGTGTGTATGTGTGTGTGTGTGTGTGTGTGTGTTTGTGTGTGACAGGGCTGGTTAAGCACCCCCACCATTCCTCTCTCCTCTCATTGAATAAGCAGGCGTAGCGAGGTCTTTGATGTGCAGTATGCAACACACTCCCTCAGGACAGTACACTACGGTCTAATTTTAACAGCCCAGCATCATCAGCCACACAGAACCTCCTGACCTACTCCCCTCCTGACCCCTGACCCCAGTGTGTGTAGGCTGCCAATGGGCCGGGCATGCCAACGCACCCGCTGGGAAATAAAGAGCTTTTCGTCAGAGGCGACAGGCATTGTGGGCGGGGAGGGCACTTTATTTGGCAAGGCAAATTATCCCGCCAGGTATTTACATACACAGTAACAATATTAGAGTTTTGCATTAAAAAGACAGCCGGACTAGTTTAATTGAGTGTGTGAGGGACTGAATGCATTTTTAACGTGAGGAGCATGGAGGAAGAGATGGAGAGGGGGGTGAAAACAAGTGAAGGAGAGATGGATTGTGCCCATTGTGTCGGGGATAATGCGTCCAGAGAGCTAAAAGGTTAGCGCCTAAACCAATCCACAATTCCCGTTAGAATACGAAAAGAAGGATGAAATGCATGCAGGGATTGGGAGCTCTTGAAAAGGCCCACTCATGGAAAGCAGAGAACCCCTCGACAGGCTCTCGTAGGAGGGGTGGGTGTTCACAGTATCCCCCTAATACTGGACCAGCCTGGTTGGTTGACCACCTGGAGACATTTCACTGTTGTAACAGGACAAGAACATAAGGCTACAACATTCTGATAACGTTCTATCAATGTAAAGAATGGTTTAGATGGGAGGAAGAGGTCTTAGTTTGTGGTATCCACTCTCACTTCAATGATCCCTATAGTATTTCCAATCTAACATGGACTTTGTTCTCTGAGCATACTGATCTATCTATCAGAGATCACACTTTATGTGTTAGGATAACAAATAGAGAACAGAGACATTGCCAGACATCCGATAGATGTTCTGAGTTGTTAGATTTGAGATAGAGGGGGTTAGATGAGTTTGTTATTGCCCAGGTTCAGGTGTGATATTACCAGTCAGCAGAGGGTGAGTGATGGGGCTCTGGTCCAGGCATGATGCCACTCTACCTGGCAGTACTGAGTCTAATAGTCTGGATCTCCAGTCCCTTTCCACTGCCTCTCCTCTCCCTATTCTCTCATCTAGCTTTCCTCCTGAACCAGGCAGAACAAAGGAAACTCACAGTCCCTCAGCCTCTGAGTGTTTATTCACCCAGCTCCTGAATAAGCAGTATTGAAACAGTAAAGCATGTTTGTAATTTAAGCAGAGACAAAGAAAGCTGGAATTAAATATTATAATGATGTCAATGGATCTGTGTTTACTGATACCGAAATGAAATAAATGTTTACATTGGGAAAGGTCTACTGTAGGTCTGCTGTAATATATATACACTACAGTATGTAGACTTAAAGAAACGGATTCTATATTTGATTAAGTAGCCATGTATGGTCTGATTAGCAGCCAGGAAACATTGACTTGTTTGCTGTAGCACACTCAGAGCACTGCAGAGACTTTGACTTCCTGCTGTAGGACATGGTGTGTCTCTGTGTGTGTCCCTGTACGTCTCTGTGTGGTGCTGAGAATCAGCAGGGTTCAAAGAGCATTGCCCCCCTCTTCTGTCTGGATCTAGCTGGGATCAATAGACCTAGATGTCTGGAGACTAGAAGGCATTATCCCCTTAGAAGCAAACAAATAGCAGGCTGTTAGCATAGCACAAATCCCCCCCCCCCCCCCCCCCCCCCCCCCCCCCTCTCTCTCTCTCTCTCTCTCTCTCTCTCTCCCTCCCTCCCTCCCCATCGAAACACACATACAGGAATCGATTATAGACTTTATCCCGTAGAGCTAGGATGGTAGTGGGTCCTGCTTATTATAGTAGTCTGGAGCTCTGCTACACATGCCTCATTCTGTCACTGGAATATGGGAGTAGGAGGCAAGTTAAAGGGCTTTGTAGAACTCATAAAGATTTTTGAGAAATCAATGTGTTTATGTGGGGCGAAGTGGAGTGTAGTCAAACTAATGCATGTATTTTATTTTATCCCATTTTTACTCTCCTGTAGCTATAACAACCTTGTTGAGGCTGCTGGTAATCCATGTTCATTTATGCTTTCTGAACTAAGGAAAATGGAGTCTGGAGAAAAATTGGGCTTATCTGGGCCTTGCAGCTTATTTGAATGTAAGCCTTTGAACATGTTGAATAGGAAGGAGGAGTATATCGCTCTAGCCATTTTCCTCTCTATGGTTATTTTACTGTCTGTTGAAGACATGGCAACTGGAAGAGGAAAACATTGCTCTGCTCTGCTCTTCTCACACCTATCTGTGGCTTATACAGATGCTTCAATGTGCTTTAGCCTTTGACCAAGCACTCCTACCATGCTATACTGTTAGCTCCAAGGGCCAATAATCACAGTTTCTTAAGAACATAGAGACACACTGACACATTCTTCCTGAAGTAAGATAGTTACTCTATCGAAGGGACTTTAAAAGTTTGAGGTAGATGAGCCAGGAGTCTCAGACGCAAGGGTTGGTCCTGGACGTCTATTTTAGAGGCTTATTGGTCAATTAACTGAGTCACATGTTTCATTAAGGAGCTTGTCGTATCCTGGAGGGCTGTGTTGTATTCTACTGTTGCTTCTAAATGATTGTTAAATAACTTACTTGGACAAATCACCAGCAGAAGTTATCTCTATATGAGTTTGTGTTACAGTATTAAGAGCCTGAAGTGTTTTTTTTTTTTTTTTTTTTAAGTTCTGTGAGAGTGAAATTAATAGAATACAAATCATGTTGTGTTTGTTTTTCAAATACAGTCAATCAATCACTTTTACTGCTGTAACTCTGAATTTTAACCAAGCCAATTCCTGAAGCAATATATTGTGTGCCTTCTGTGTGTATCATACAGTCATTGATGTGTGTGTGTGTGACCATAGGAGACCTAGCTTGTTTTTTCAATCACATGAGATTCAACTTAACTCTAGACCATGGAGTCACACATTTGATTAGGAGAGTGGTGTCGGTCAATATAATGACCTAGCTATATACCTCTCTCCTTTCTCTTTTCATCCCTCTTTTAATCTAATCTACCTGTTTACCTGTTTCCCCGCTGCCTGTCTATCTTTCAGTCTTCATCTCTTTCACTCTCTACCTCTCAGTATTGTAGCTGTTGATAAAGGATGAATAGTCCACAGTCACTCATCTTAATCAGACTTTTACCTCTCCCTCTTTCATTTCCATCAGCCTCTCATTCAACCTGCCTCTTCAACATGGAAATAGATGTTGATAGTGGTTAGAAAATAAGTATGTGAGACTGAGAGTAGGTTGTTAGGCAAGGACAGCCATTTAAACAGTCTATGAATGTTTTTGTTTTGTTTATTTGTTTAAGATTCTCTGCAGTGACTCAATCTCTCTCTCTGTTTACAGGTGTCTGTCATGTGTCAATGGCTCGTTCCCCTGCCACTGGTGTAAATACCGTCACATGTGCACTCAGAACGCCAACGACTGTTCCTTCCAGGAGGGTCGTGTCAACGTGTCAGAGGTGAGAGATCCCCTCTGTCCCAAAATACTTCACACTGTCTCCCTGTGTAACAACCATCTCTTCAGTAACACATTCAATTGATGACGCCAGTCAGTGTTATACCCACTCATACACTGTAAAACCTGTCACAAAACATGCATTCACACACACACACACACACACACACACACACACACACACACACACACACACACACACACATATACAAACATGCATGCACGTACACACACTCTCACACACACACTTCCTCCCGTTGATGAGAGTGATCCACGTGCTGGCTGATGTCCAGGAGTCTCCAGCTGGGCTCTTGGTGTTGTCGTGCCACCATGCCTGGGCCTCAGAGTGATGCTATCAGTGTTTCAGCAGCAGCTGTTTAAATAAAACCAGCCCTGGATTTATGCACTTATAAACAGGCCAGGGTGAATGACTATGCAAATTGTATCGTGTTCTACATTTCCAAATGTTACATTTGCATGAAAACCAATATCAATCTTATCCCTGCTCTGCTCTCTCTCTCTCTCCCGCCCCGACCGTGGAATGCCAAGACAAAGTGCACGCTCTGTGGTGCTATAGAAGAGTGAACTGTTTACTGGCAGAACACAGCCCTCCATCACACACACGCACGCACACACACACACTGTACAAAAATGTACAAAACAAATCACAAACTCAGTCACACACACACCAACTATAACAAACAAACAAACAAAATCTCCTTCACCCTCCAAACCTTAATCTCTCAACCCACTGATCCCTGTAACAATCACCTATTTAAAAGTGTAAATTCACATTTACATCCATGTCAAGTGACCTGGGGGGACGTGAAACCCTGATCTGTTCAGACACTGTGTTCTGCTGTTCAGTGCTGCGAGCATCTGTGAATGCACCTGATGTATACATGTGTTTGTCTTGGCTACATGCAGAGCAGGTTCCTTATCTCTTTGCTGGCGGAACACCTTTCCCATGCGTCTGGGTTACATTGTGGTTTATTTATTATGTTAATTGGTCATGAGGTATCCTACCTCAATCCAATTACGGGCCACAGCTTTTATCTCCTCAGCGAAGCTGAAGCCGCACACATTCTCTCTCTCTCTCTCTCTCTCTCTCTCTCTCTCTCTCTCTCTCTCTCTCTCTCTCTCTCTCTCTCTCTCTCTCTCACTCTCACTCTCACTCTCACTCTCACTCTCACTCTCACACTCTCACCTCAAAGAGGAAATTACATGGATTTACAGCCTGGTCTCATAGACAAGACGTAAATATAGATCCGGGACACTCAAATTAGTATGATATGTTACGTTTGGTGTGGTTACAACAGAAGGATAGTAGTGTGGATGGGTAGGTGTATAATGCGTATGTCTAGCAACCCAAAGGTTGTGTGTTCGAATCTCATCACGGACAACTTTAGCATTTTAGCTCATTGGAACTACTTACCACCTAGCTAACGTTAGCCACAACATGCAATACATTACCAAAAGTATATGGACACCTGCTCTTCGAACATCTCATTCAGAAATCATGGGCATTAATATGGAGTTGGTCCCCCTTTTGCTGCTATAACAGCCTCCACTCTTCTGGGGAGGCTTTCCACTAGATGTTGGAACATTGCTGCGGGGACTTGCTTCCATTCAGCCACAAAAGCATTAGTGAGGTCGGGCACTGATGTTGGGTGATTAGGCCTGACTCGCAGTCGGCGTTCCAATTCATCCCAAAGATGTTCGATGGGGTTGAGGTTAGGGCTCTGTGCAGGCCAGTCAAGTTCTTCCACACCGATCTCCACAAACCATTTCTGTATGGACCTCGCTTTGTGCACGGGGCATTGTCATGCTGAAACAGGAAAGGGCCTTCCCCTAACTGTTGCCACAAAGTTGGATGCACAGAATCGTCTAGAATGTCATTGTATGCTGTCGCGTTAAGTTTTCACTTCACTGGAACTAAGGGGCATAGTCCGAACCATGGAAAACAGCCCCAGACCATTATTCCTCCTCCACCAAACTTTACAGTTGGCACTATGCATTCGAACAGGTAGCGTTCTCCTGGTATCCGCCAAACCCAGATTTGTCCATCGGACTGCCAGATGGTGAAGCGTGATTCATCACTCCAGAGAATGCGTTTCCACTGCCCCAGAGTCCAATGGCGGTGAGCTTTACACCACTCCAGCTGACACTTGGCATTGCGCATGGTGATCTTAGACTTGTGTGCAGCTGCTCGTGCATGGAGCTCCCGACAAACGGTTATTGTGCTGACGTTGCTTCCAGAGGCAATTTGGAACTCGGTAGTGAGTGTTGCAACCGAGGACAGACGGTTTTTACGCGCTACGCGCTTCAGCACTCGGTCATTCCCTTCAGTGAGCTTGTGTGGCCTACCACTTCGCAGCTGAGCCGTTGTTGCTCGTAGACGTTTCCACTCCACAATAACAGCACTTGCAGTTGATCAGGGCAGCTCTAGCAGGGCAGAAATTTGACAAACTGACTTGTTGGAAGGGTGGCATCCTATGACGGTGCCACGTTGAAAGTCACTGAACTCTTCAGTAAGGCCACTCTATTGCCAATGTTTGTCTATGGAGATTACATGGCTGTGTGCTACATGTTTTACACCTGTCAGCAATGGGTCTGGCTGAAATAGCCGAATCCACTAATTTGAAGAGGTGTCCACATACTTTTGTATATATAGTGTATCATACGTATCATACGTGTATCATATGTATATAGTGTATCATGCGCAAATTAATAACATTGTATCAATTGCAATTCATAACATATCATACAAAGTATAATTTGTAACATGTCGTCGAAATGGATGATGGATATCTACAAATTAATACATACCATACGAAACGTAACATTTCATACTAACTGGTGTGTCTCGGAGTTACGTTTACTATGTTACATCTACCCCTGAGTCCAGGTTGGGATTAACATTCTGTTACTGTAAAACCAATGCTCGCTTTCTCACTGCTTGCAAAGCTCCAGTGGAAAATGCTGCAAAGTGTTTAATCTCAGAGAAGAGAATTGGCATGCGTTCATACATGGTGGTGGAGGGGCTGGGCTGTGGGGAAAGGTTGTGTGTGAAAGAATTAAGGAACTCTCTATCAGGGGGTAGAGAAAAGAGGGGAGAGTTAAGCGATAAAAACATTTTATGTATTTATTTAACCTTTATTTAACTAGGCAAGTCAGTTAAGAACAAATTCTTATTTACAATGACGGCCTACATAAAATGAAGTGTGTTGGTGTTGGTCAAAATCGTAGACTAAACGCCATCCGAAGTGGTACTACTGCTGTGACAATCAATCAGCCTGTTCTTCCCCCTGAGCTGAGCTGTAATCCAACCAAACCACACACATACTCTGTACTTCCAGCACTGATATTTTTTCTTTTGGTGCATAGGTTACCATGGTTACATGGCCAGTCCGTCTCAATAGGCGTGTTACACACAGATGCCATTATTTTATGTTGCACAATGCCAATGCCACAATTTTTCCTTTCTTTTGATGGACTTTTAATGCATCATTGTCGATAACGGAAAGAGTTAAGTTGAACCCAAAATGTATACAAAACAACAGATTTCAATGGAGGAAGGGTTTTGAGTGGGAAGGAAATGTACGCAACATTTTGACATAATGTGTAAATAAGTCTGAGATTTATTCCATTATCACTCTATCGCCAAGTCACTCTCAACTGTTATCTGTGTGCCCACTGATTTGCCAAAATGCATTTCTCATAGTTGTGTGTCCACCAGCATTGTAACTAAGTCCCCCGATGTAATGAGTAACATTTGCAAATCAAATGTATATCAATCAGCATCCACCCGACAGACAATAAACAAAGGAGCACATTAAATCCGACCAGGCAGAAAATTGCTTGAGTAAGCCGCACATGAGAAACCCATCAGGATAAATGAATTAACAAACAAACTAACATTGAAACAAACAAATGTGTTGTCATGGACAGTGGCTGTGGGTTGGGTCTGTTGGTCTGGTAGAGGTAGTGGCTGTCTGTCTCTCTGTGAGTTTGAAGCCAGTCTCCAACATTGGGATGGGATCGCTATAGAATTGGGCTTAGTTAAAGGTTCAAATCTCGAATAGGAAGGAGTTACAATATATCCAAAACCTGATTATACAATATACTGATTATACTCCCTATGGAGTTCCTTATGTTCAGTTACACTGTGTTATATCACCCATTAGGGAATAATACACTTCTGCTACTTTTCCTTGTCCAATTCATAACCATTAGAGCAGCATTGGCTGTACAGATGTACAAATGGAGATGTCTGGATGAACTAACATTAGTCTTTCTGCTGCTAATTAGATGATGAATCAAAACGACAGAGTGAGGTAATGTGCAGCTCTGTTCTCCGCCTGTCACCCCCATTATCTGCTCTGGGGGGTAAAATATAGGTCTAGTGTACTTCCTTTGATTAAGATACAGAATTACACACTAGGCTAGCTTTGGCTGACACTTATATGGTAGTTAATGTATGTTGTCATTGATTGTAATGAAATAGGATGTATCGAGTTGCATAGCTGTCTGATAAAGTATGTACAGTGCCTTTAGAAAGTATTCACACCCCTTGACTTTTTTTGTTGTGTTACAAAGTGGGATTAAAATGGATTTAATTGTCATTTTTTGTAAACGATCTACACAAAATACTCTGTAATGTCGAAGTGGGAAAAAATTCTAACATTTGTAAAAAAAAAAAAATAAATACAACCACTAATATATCTTGATTAGATAAGTATTCAGCCCCCTGAGTCAATACATGTTCGAATCGATTACAGCTGTCAGTCTTTCTGGGTATGTATCTAAGAGCTTTCCACACCTGGATTGTGCAACATTTGCCCATTATTCTTTTGAAAATTCTTCAAGCTCTGTCAAATTGGTTGTTGATCATTGCTAGACAACCATTTTCAGATCTTGCCTTATATTTTCAAGGAGATTTAAGTCAAAACTGTAACTCTGCCACTCAGGAACATTCACTGTCTTATTGGTAAGCAAGTCCAGTGTAGATTTGCCCTTGTGTTTTAGGTTATTGTCCTGCTGAAAGGTGAATTCCTCTCCCAGTGTTTGGTGGAAAGCAGACTGAACCAGGTTTTCCTCTAGGATTTTGCCTGTGCTTAGCTCCATTCCATTTATTTTTTATCCTGAAAAATTCCCCAGTCCTTAACGATTACAAGCATACCCATAATATGATGCAGCCACCACTATGCATAAAAATATGGAGAATGGTACTCAGTAATGTGTTGAATTGGATTTGCCCCAAACATCATACTTTGTATTCAGGACAAAAAGTTAATCGCTTTGCCACATTTTTAGCAGTATTACTTTAGTGCCTTGTTTCAAACAGGATGCATGTTTGGAATATTTGTATTCTGTACAGGCTTCTTTCTTTTCACTCTGTTAATTAGGATAGTGTTGTGGAGTAACTACAATGTTGTTGATACATCCTCAGTTTTCTCCTATCGCAGCCATTAAACTCTGTAAATTATTTAAAGTCACCATTGGCCTCATGGTTTCCTTCCTCTCCGGCAATTGAGTTAAGAAGGACGCCTGTATCTTTGTAGTAACTGGGTGTATGGATACACATTCCAAAGTGTAATTAATAACTTCACCATGCTCAAAGGGATATTCAATGTCTGCTTTTTTTTACTCATCTACCAATAGGTGCCCTTCTTTGCGAGGCGTTGGAAACCTTGCTGGTCTTTGTGGTTGAATTTGTGTTTGAAATTCACTGCTTGACTGAGGGGCCTTACAGATAGTTATATGTTTTGTTGGGTACAGAGATGAGGTGGTCATAAAAAATGCAAGTTATTATGTGACTTGTTAAGCAAAATTTTACTCCTGGACTTATTTAGGTTTGTCATAACAAATGGGTTGCATACTTATTGACTTATTCCACTTTGACATTATGAGATATTGTGTGTAGGCCAGTGACCAAAGATATCTCAGTTTAATCAATTTTACATTCAGGCTGTAACACATCAAAATGTGGAAAAAGTCTAGAGGTGTGAATATTTTCTGAAGTTACTGTATTTATGATAATGCCTCTCCTAGTCCTAATTGATGTATTCATGCATTTAGACAGACATCCTCAGTGCCACCTGTCTCTCCTCAATGTCTGCCAAGCATAATTCCTTCATTCCCTCAAATTTACTGTCTGTCTCATCTGGCTTTTTTTTCTCTTCCCTCTCTCGTGTCTCTGATGTTGTGAAAGCATTTCTCCTGTGAGTACACGCAGGCATGCACACACAAACACACACTAGAGGAAGTGCGTCCAACAGCGTCTTGGTAAACTGCAGTAGCGCTACAGTAAACAGACTGTGAACAGGCGAGGGAGGAGAAGGCCTGCCAAAGAGCCCCAGCTCCAACTCTCAGCCCTGCTCAACTGGCTGTCTTCATCCCCAATGTCACGGCTCTGAACAGACCAGCCAACTCCACCAATACTGCAGCCAGCCTTACGGAATGGTACAAACATCTGAGACTGTACCTTTAATTATTTAATTAATTAGCAATGTCAATTAGCGAAAGCGGGTACCTTCTCATGGTCTCTCACCTTTCGTCGTTAGATATGAGTTCTCCCCGCTGTACTGCGACACTGGCACCGGACTAACCCCTCTCTAGCTCTCCCTGGCAGGGGTAGCTGAGTACCAGGTTGCCCCCTCTTTGGTTCTCCCAGGCGCTGCCTCCTGCTCAGGGATCCAAGCCGGCCACTGATCTGCACCTACTTTAATTATTCAAAGTGTATTAAATCTTAATTTCCAGATGCCTCAGATCCTTCTAATGGAGGCTGGGGATGAATGTTATATAGAGGATAGGAGTGGAGATCCTGGTGAAGGCTTCTTCATGTGGGGTTTGGTCCAATGACACCATCAGGGCCAGCTCCACTTCCTTTATTTTCTCTTAAATAATTCCTACTCATCTAATGCTGCTGTCCTAGTTCTCCCCTTCAGAGAAAGTACTGACTCTAGAGCTCCCATGGCAGTGTCAGCATAATACGTTGTCAGTGATCATGTTTCATGTTTGGTGCAAAGCAAGTTCTTTGTACAGTTTGTACAATATCATTCATCCTTAAGAGTATATTGACGCACCCGTGCGTCAATCTAAGTAACATAATAAGAAAATCCCCATAAAAATCAGTCAGTTAAACCTAGAGATATATTTTTTTTGTATGGGCTGCATCTCAATCCACCGCATAGGCCTATGTTGCCCTTTCGCATCTGCGTTGGAAAGTGGCTGAGCTACAGTGGTGTTTATCAGATCATGAGACATCCTGAAAATCTGTCTTCTCACGAAAACGTCTGTAGCGTCCGAACGGTTTGGCCTACAAACTATTATGACCACTCTATGGAAAGGGGAGACTCTTCGTTTTGCTCTACGACCCCCACAAGTGTCACGGGACTTGTTTGAAGGTAACCTATACAAATAAAATAAGTATGGAGGTAGTTTTGTGCCAACAAAAATAAGGGGTTAAATATCTTATATCTCCTAGATGTAGGACAGACACTTCAAAACCTTGTTCCTTATGATTAATTTTTTGGGCTGTATTTTCTGCCATTGATGAATGTGTTATTCAATGCGTTTCTATGGGCTATAGTAGTAAAGGCCAAATTCAATAGGTTATCAAATAATTTGTATAAAAAAAAAAAAATGAAACCAAAATGGGTCCTCAAATTCAAAATCAAACAGCTTAGCTATCAAACAGTTATCATACATTTAGTTATACACACATATACACCCCCCGATCTGTAGTGTTATTAGCCATAAAGATTCAGCTACAGTATCTGTGACTCCCTAGCAGATTTCTCCCAGGAGATTCTGACCGTGCGTATCTCATCTCCCCAGCTCTCTGGGCTCTCCCTACTCTCCTTGCTGCTCCACATTAGGACCCAGGAGTGGGCGGACACTCCAAAAGCCTTTTCATTGTTCAAAGTCCCTTTCATTTTACCGCTGAGCTCCTATGAGAGGCTCATGGTGTCTTATTAAGCACAGTTCTATCACCGTGTCTCACTAGAGGACTAGACCTTGGGAACTTTGTTCATACAACTGTTACTCTTTACAACTTTCGTCTTAGTAATAAAATTACATAGTTACATAATATAGTTATGTTTATTGTTGTTTGTTGCACTGTTATCTTATGGTCCGAAACACAATATAAATTGTCTGAGCTCAGTATTTCCTAGCATCAGATATGAATAGCACCCTGTGTAATGATCTGGTGTATCTACGGTAACACACACCCCTGGGAGTTGGTTGTGGACGCTTAAATCGATCTGCAAAGTGTTGCTTATCACATTAAGTCTCTGCATGCAGCCCAGATACAGTGTGACAGAAACAGACAGGCCAATCTCTGATAAAACAAAGCCCAGTTCCATTTTGTTTTGCTCTAAACAGCTCATCTCTGTCCAAATGAAGAGGCCAGCAAGGCACAATTGGATTCTGTAGGGAGTGGCCGGCAGGCCTGAAATCACTGAGAGGCCTTGGTTGTGTTGATGGATATGATATGCTGCTCGGTGGCCCCCTTGACCTGTCGGCACCAGAAATCTATGGGGACGGGTATTGGCTCGCATGAAACCCAGCAAATCTCAGAGTGAGATCATATTATTCAGCGTCTCTCTGTTTGTGTCTCCCTCGGGAGATCTAGTCATCATATCAGAGCCCTTTTTAGCTCTTCCTCTCTGTCTGTCTCTCGTTCCCCTCTGTGTGTTTCGCTTGGTCTGTGTTGCACTGGTCGATGGAGGTCCTGCTTCTTGCTCGCGGGATGTATCAGTAATCTGCAGCTCTCCAAAAGGGGACCATCGCACTCCCCCAGAAGCTCGCCCGGTGCCCAAAACCCGCAAATCCAGACAAACAAAAGGTGTAATGGGTCCGCATTCAAAAAGATGTCTCATAAAGCTTACTTCATATTTCATTTTAAAAAATGATTTTCAATGCATCAGGGATAGCTTACTCTGCAGCTCTGCAGCTCTCTCCTTTCCACACTCGTCCCTCCTCGCCTCGCCTCGCCCCACCACACAGTACACCCCTCTGTCAATCACAAAGCTACTCATATATCAACACCCCTTGTCGCCAGCAGTGACACACCATCCTTCATTTGGATTGGCCAGGGGGCCTGGAGGAGGAGGCCCAGGAGGTCACAGCCAGCAGCCCCACAGAGAACACCTCAGCATCCCATGATGACATCACCTCACTACTGTAGGGCCATGCAGGGCCAATGGGAGATCGATAGAATCATCAGAAGAATCCGATTTCAAACCTGTTGCAGAAGACAGAAGAGGCTTGACTCTCTCTCTCTGTCTCTCTCTCTCTCTCTCTCTCTCTCTCTCTCTCTCTCTCTCTCTCTCTCTCTCTCTCTCTCTCTCTCTCTCTCTGTCTCTGTCTCTGTCTCTGTCTCTCTCTGTCTCTCTCTCTCTCTTGTTCTGCTGTTTGTTATGTAAGCCCTGCTTAATCTTCTAAGACTGCAACCTCTGCAGTGTTACACGGCTTGATGGGAGGGGAAAATCAAATGCTAACATAAATCTGTTGCCAGAGGGGGCATGTCTGGAGGCTGCTTTTCAGCAAAACAAACACCATGCAGACTAGCAAGCCCTACGGAGTTGCCAGGGCCAGGCTAGCGCTAAGAGGAGGATATGGGAGAAGTCGAGATGAGTCTGGAGCCAGAAAACCCACTCATCTTTATCTGCTGCTGGCTGACACCTTATGCCTTCTTCCTGTTTGCCCTCAAGACAGGTTCCTCTGCAGCGCTCCGACTCCCAACCCCAGAACCCCAGGGTTAGATTGGTGTTTTGGAGCAGGGACAGCTGTAAGCTCTTCCTCTCTCTCTCTCTCTCCCAGAGTTCCAGCCTTGTCTTTCCCCCGAGGGGTTGAGGGCAACACAAATAATCAGCCAAACACTCCCATTTGGTGAACCCCTGACTCTCCTCCTGACTCTCATTCCCACCTTAATAAATGAATCCCAGGGCCATGTCTCACCTCTTCTTGACTCACAGCACCAGGGGAGAGAGGGGATAAGGTGGGAGGGGGGAGGGGGAGAGCACTGAAAGCAGCAAACCTAACCTGGAGCCCCAGCTCACAGAAGCCTCTCTCTCTCTCTCTCTCTCTCTCTCTCTCACTCACTCACTCACTCACTCACTCACTCACTCACTCACTCACTCACTCACTCACTCACTCTCTCAATTCAATTCGAAGGGCTTTATTGGTATGGGAAACATATGTTTACATTGCCAAAAGTGAAATAAACAATACAAAATGAACAGTAAACATTACACTCACAAAAGTTTCAAAGGAATAGAGACATTTCAAATGTCATATTATTGTTATGTACAGTGTTGCAACGATGTGCAAATAGTTAAAGTACAACTGGGAAAATAAATACACATAGACATTGTATTTACAATGGTGTTTGTTCTTCACTGCTTGCTCTTTTCTTTTGGCAACAGGTCACAAATCTTGCTGCAGTGATGGCACACTGTGGTATTTCACCTAATAGATATGGGAGTTTATCAAAATTGGATTTGTTTTCTAATTCTTTGTGGGTCTGTGTAATCTGAGGGAAATATGTGTCTCTAATATGGTCACACATTTGGCAGGAAGTTGGGAAGCAGCTCAGTTTCGACCTCATTTTGTGGGCAGTGTGCACATACAGCCTGTCTTCTCTTGAGAGCCAGGTCTGCCTCTCTCAATAGCAAGGCTATGCTCACTGAGTCAAAGTCAAAGCTTTCCTTAATTTTTGGTCAGTCGCAGGGGTCAGGTATTCTGCCACTGTGTACTCTCTGTTTAGGGCCAAATAGCATTCCAGTTTGCTCTTTCTTTTGGTAAATTCTTTCCAATGTGTCAAGTAATTATCTTTTTGTTTTCTCATGATTTGGTTGGGTCTAACTGTGTTACTGTCCTGGGGCTCTGTGGGGTCAGTTTAGTGTTTGTGAACAGAGCCCCAAGACCAGCTTGCTTAGGGGATTCTTCTCTAGGTTAATCTCTCTGTAGGTGATGGCTTTGGGAATCGCTTCCTTTTAGGTGGTTGTAGAATATAACTATCGTCCTAATTCTGCTCTGCATGCATTATTTGGTGTTTTACGCTGTACACTGAAGATGTTTTTGAAGAATTCTGCATGCAGAGTCTCAATTTGGTGTTTGTCCGATTTTGTGAATTCTTGGTTGGTGAGCTGGCCCCAGACCTCAAAACCATAAAGGGCAATGGGTTCTATAACTGATTCAAGTATCCTAATTGGGATGCCCTTCTTGCCTTGTCTCTCAGATTGTCCACAGCTTTGTGGAAGTTACCTGTGGTGCTGATGTTTATGCCAAGGTACAGTGAGGGAAAAAAGTATTTGATCCCCTGCTGATTTTGTACGTTTGCCCACTGACAAAGAAATGATCAGTCTATAATTTTAATCGTAGGTTTATTTGAACAGTGAGAGACAGAATAACAACAAAAAAATCCAGAAAAACGCATTTCAAAAATGTTATAAATTGATTTGCATTTTAATGAGGGAAATAAGTATTTGATTTTTTTGTTGTTATTCTGTCTCTCACTGTTCAAATAAACCTACCATTAAAATTATAGACTGATCATGTCTTTGTCAGTGGGCAAACGTACAAAATCATCAGCGGATCAAATACTTTTTTCCCTCACTGTATATGTCGTTTTTTGTGTGCTCTAGATGGAATTTGTATTTGTGGTCCTGGCAACTGGAACTTTTTTGGAACATTATTATTTTTGTCTTACTGAGATTTACTGTCTGGGCCCAGGTCTGACAGAATCTGTGCAGAAGATCTAGGTGCTGCTGTAGGCCCTCCTTGGTTGGGGACAGAAGCACCAGATCATCAGCAAACAGTAGACATTTGACTTCAGATTCTAATAGGGTGAGGCCGGGTAATGCAGTCTGTTCTAGTGTCCTTTCCAATTCGTTGAAATGTACAATATAAAGAAAAGTATGTGGACACCCCTTCAAATGAGTGGATTCGGCTATTTCAGCCACACCCGTTGCTGACAGGTGTATAAAATCGAGCACACAGCCATGCAATCTACATAGACAAACATTGACAGTAGAATGGCCTTACTGAAGAGCTCAGTGACTTTCAACATGGCACCGTCATAGGATGCCACCTTTCCAACAAGTCAGTTCGTCAAATTTCTGCCCTGCTAGAGCTGCCCTGGTCAACTGCTAATGCTGTTATTGTGAAGTGGAAACGTCTAGGAGCAACAACGGCTCAGCTGCGAAGTGGTTGGCCACACAAGCTCACAGAATGGGACCGCCGAGTGCTGAAGCGCGTCGTGTGTAAAAATTGTCTGTCCTCGGTTGCAACACTCACTACCGAGTTCCAAACTGCCTCTGGAAGCAACGTCAGCACAATAACTGTTTGTCGGGAGCTTCATGAAATGGGTTTCCATGGCCGAGCAGCCACATACAAGCCTAAGATCACAATGTGCAATGCCAAGCGTCTGCTGGAGTGGTGGAAAGCTTGCCGCCATTGGACACTGGAGCAGTGGAAACGTGTTCTGTAGAGTGATGAATCACGCTTCACCATCTGGCAGTCCGATGGACGAATCTGGGTTTGGCGGATGCCAGGAGAACGCTACCTGCCCGAATGCAAAGTGCCAACTATAAAGTTTGATGGAGGAGGAATAATGGTCTGGGGCTGTTTATCATGGTTCGGGCTAGGCCCCTTAGTTGCAGTGAAGGGAAATCTTAACGCTACAGCATACAATGACATTCTAGACGATTCTGTGCTTCCAACTTTGTGGCAACAGTTTGGGGAAGGCCCTTTCCTGTTTCAGCATGACAATGCCCCCGTGCAGAAAGCGAAATGGTTTGTGGAGATCGGTGTGGAAGAACTTGACTGGCCTGCACAGAGCCCTGACCTCAACCCCATCAAACACCTTAGGGATGAATTGGAACGCCGACCGTGAGCCAGGCCTAATCGCCCAACATCAGTGCCTTCCCAGAAGAGTGGAGGCTGTTATAGCAGCAAAGATGGGACCAACTCCATATTAATGCCCATGATTTTTGAATGATATGTTCATCGAGCAGGTGTCCACATACTTTTGGTCATGTAGTGTATATGTTGAAGAGGGTGGGGCTCAAGCTACATCTCTGTCTCACCCCTCGGCCCTGTGGAAAGAAATGTGTGTGTTTTTTGCCAATTTTAACCGCACTCTTGTTGTTTGTGTACATGGATTCTATAACGTCGTATTTTTTTCCCCCAACACCGCTTTCCATCAATTTGTATAGCAGACACTCATGCCAAATTGAGTCAAAAGCTTTTTTGAAATCAACAGAGCATGAAAAGACTTTGCCTTTGTTTTGTTTGTTTGTCAATTAGGGTGTGCAGGGTGAATACGTGGTCTGTCGTACGGTAATTTGGTAAAAAGCCAATTTGACATTTGCTCAGTACATTGTTTTCACTGAGGAAATGAACGTTTCTCTCTCTCTTTCTCGCTCTTCTTTCTCTCTTTCTCTGTCTCTCTCTCTCTCTCTTTCTCTCTCTCTCTCTCTCTCGCTGTCTTTCTCCCTCTCTGTCATTTCAAAGGAAATAAAGGAGTGAAAAAAGAAAAGCGAGAAACCACTTCAAAGGAATCTCCCTGGTAAACCATTGTTCCATTGTACTCTGCAAGAGTACAATCTGATACGCACTTTCAATTCTGTTTTGACACATGTCAGGACTGGCAATGAAATAGTTTCAATTTTTTCTCCTTCTCTTACCCTCAACTTGTGTGCATCATCAGTTCCCTTCTGAACATGGCAGGTCTTTGTCTCATGGCTCTGGCTGATCCGTAATGAGAACCAGAGGTTGCGGCCTGTCTCTGTGCCCCAGCTGGATGACAATGTCTGGGGCCGATGGTTGAGTTTGGCTGGGCTGGGTGCTGAGTGCTGCAGGATGTGGTTCTGGCTTGGCCCGCAGTGCTGATCCAGCACTCTCTGTGTCTACGACCCTCCAGTCCATGCCAACGCATCAGGCCTCTGGGGTTTCTGCTGCAGGCATGCGGGCCATGTGTTGGCACAGTTTTGGCCAGAGTGTGATTCAGACTGAGGAGTTAGCAGTCTGACTGTCTCTGTCTCTGCACTGTCTGGCCAGAGACACGTGTTTTACATACCATAGAGGGAGGCTGCGGTTTGTCTGACCCACGCTACCCAGACAGTCGGCGAAAGCGGCGTTACACTGGTGACAGACTGCGCACAAATGCACAGAGACACAGTG